ACAGAGGTGGGCCGCTCGCTGGAGGGGGTGTTTCCACCCCCCTGCCAAAACCCGCTTGGGAGAAACCGGGCAGGGACCAGTGTGTCCTGGAAGCCAAGGGCGTGGGCGGCCACCTAGCAGAGATGTGTGGGAGGGGGCTAGCAGGAAGTGGGCTTGGAGTGTGGGCAGGAAGGAGGGTGCTGGATTGGGGTGGCAGAGTGGGGTCTGGGCAGAAGGGGGGTGCAGGAGTGGGTTGGGGGCTGGGAAGAAACCCGCTTGGGAGAAACCGGGCAGGGACCAGTGTGTCCTGGAAGCCAAGGGCGTGGGCGGCCACCTAGCAGAGATGTGTGGGAGGGGGCTAGCAGGAAGTGGGCTTGGAGTGTGGGCAGGAAGGAGGGTGCTGGATTGGGGTGGCAGAGTGGGGTCTGGGCAGAAGGGGGGTGCAGGAGTGGGTTGGGGGCTGGGAAGGAAAGGGGGTGCAGGAGCGGGTTGGGGGTTGGGCGGGAGGTAGGGTGCAGGACTGGAGTGGCGGTGTGGGGTCTGGGCAGAAGGGGGGGGCAGGAGTGGGTTGGGGGCTGGGAAGGAAAGGGGGTGCAGGAGCAGGCTGGGAGGGAGGGGTCTGAGTGATGGGGGGTGCTTACCTGCACAGCTCCCTGGGACACAGATGGCCCCGTGTTCCCTCCCCTCCGCTCCCTGGCCCCGCCCCCTGCTGCTCCTACTGGCTGCAATTACAGCCAATCAGAGCATCAGGGGAAACGCCTCCACGTGGTGCCGTGGGGAGGGGGAGTGGCCGTGGGGCTGGATCACCAGCGCAGGCTCCCAATGCTGGGGAGGGAGCGCCAAGCCTCAGGGGCCAGATCCGGGCAAGCTGGGGTCTGTTCCCCACTCCGACTGGGAGGCTCCAGCTGTGATCAGGGCTCCGTGGTGCACAGCCCTGCATGAACACACGGCACCGGGCAGCCTCCGCCCCAGAGAGCTTCCAGGCTCAACAAACAATGGCTTGGTGTGAAAAACAGAGGTCGAGGGATGCAACTAAGGTGACACAGTGAGTCGGTGGCACAGCTCGGAACAGACTCTGTCCAGTGCAGCACAACCTCTAGCCACCGCCACATCGCTGAGCACAGCCCCGCACGCCCAAGGTCCTGGCCTCTGGATTGCTGCCTCCTAGAACGCCCTGGCGTCCTTAATTGAGCTTGGAAATCACAAAAAATACAAAGCTCCAAAAATCCATAAAAGGAAACCAGGGACCTAATTTTCATGCACATGCTGCTCACCGAGGGGCAGAGCGAGTGGGGGGAGGCGTGGGGGAGGGGGCGAGGACAAGGGCAGAATTGTTTCCCACTAGAATATTTTCCAGCTTTCTCTAGGAGACCTCAGCAGCTCTGTAAACCGGAACAAGCGGAGAGGAAGCCGGAGCAACGCCGGGCAGGGTATAAATCAGCAAGGCCAGTAAAGCAACCACTCACGCAGGCCTCCTTGTAAATATCCCTCTTCTTCCCGAGTCGGAACTGTCCTCCATGGGGCTCGGCGGAGAACGCCCCC